AAGTTAGAAAATAATATATGAAGCTTCTAATTAATTCTTCTTAAACATACAAATAATATGGTTTAGTTTTGCGAAAGTGGTTGAATGTTGACCGAGGGAAATCTTCTGAATGTAGGATCCGGAAGTGGAAGACACTTCCTGATAAGGCAGCCCTTTGTGAAAATGGGGTCTGTTGCAGCCTAAACCTTGAACCGCAGGCTTCTTGGCCCTTCATTACGATTCGAGTCGTATCCTTTCCATTTCTGTTGTTGTGTTTGGATGCAAACCCGGCTTTTCAGCGTCATCTTCCAAAGAAATAAGACTTTGACCTAGTAACCCGTTTCGCATTGTTTTTTGCCAAGTAGAGCATTGGAAAAGGAGTCGCCTCCTTCTGGTTGCCCTCGCGAGCAGCGATTTCTTTTTCTTCCATTTCATTCCCTCAGGAGTCGTTACTTGTGGGGATTTTGTCACAACTTACAAAATAAAGTTACCTTCAGTTACGACATGAAGGAGCTACTTTTACACTCACTTGTTTCATAAAGAAAATTGTCACATGACTTTCAGTGTTTTATATATGTTACGGTTAATGGGGATAATCGGTTATTATACATAATAACCGCGGTAATTATGTATTTTGAGATGACAGCAAATTTGTATGTCTTGTAGAGGCATTTTGAAAAGAACCACAGACGATTAAAGTAAATTTTTCTTTATCGCAGAAATATTATTTCATGTTGAAGGCGATCAGGTTATTGTAACATATTAGATGATAATTAAACCTCCAAACCAACCAGTCCATGATCACATCAGCGAACGGCGCCGGCCGACGGAAAAGACTCGTGACTGGGAGTTAAAGTAGAAGAGTGGTTACTACAATTGAAGTAGAAACAATTAAAATAGAGTATCGTTACAAATAATTAAAGAAGGTTAAAAAATTAAATCATTACATATATATTATTGACTACAAAATGACGTACGTTTTCTCGTTTGGTCCAAAGGTGCTGTTAATTTTATTACGTTTGTGAAATCAGATGTGACTTCGTTTGGGAACTCGAAGAAGCTTCATTCATTCCTGAAGTGTTAAGAAGTTTTTTGCTTCGTAGAAATTTGCGGTGGAAAGCTAACTCCTGTTTGGTTTTTTTCTATCTTGAGGGGCCTTTAACGGTTGTGCCTCAGAGGGAATTATTGGGTGTTCTTGATGGGCTTCTTTGACCTTTCGAGTAACAATTTTAGCTTTGAGAGTTGCTCTGTTCAGAGACGTTTGAGTCATTTCCCTAAATTTGTAAAAAATGGATAATATGTTTGACTGAGCAAGTTTCTTAAATACCAGTTTATTGTCCTAAAATCTTATTAAACTTTCAATCTTAAAAAAATGCTGTTCGATCGATTTTACACATTAAAAAGTCGTAATTAAGCAAAATGTTCTTGCATTTTTTCGCAAAGTTTTAAATTTTTTCTATTTTAGATGCCTTTCTAAACAGAAGTTTTTGAATATTCCCCTCGTTTTGATACACGTACAGAGATTTTTCCCTTTTAGGAAAAAATTAGGTTAATGATTTTAAATTACCTCTTATGAAACCTAGCCAGTGAATATCTTAATTAGTTTGTGATCCCTTAATCTTAGTTAGTTTGTGAATGATCCCTTAAATAGTAATTGGCTTTTTTAGAAATTTAAATGTATTGTAGTGCGCTGGCCTCCCAGAAATGCTATTTCCTTGGACAGTCAATACGGTATAGTTTTAAGAAAAACTGTTCTCAAGAAAATGAAGCGTATGGAAAATTTTTCAAAATGGCATTCCAAAAAACAGCACCTCCAACAGACATCTTTTCACAAATAAATAATGACCACAATGGCTCTCCACTTGAAATTGCTCAATCCATTCTTCAATCACTTTATCCCATCACAACAGATGTCACAGCCCAAAACACCTCATCACAACCGCATAACTTGGAACCTCCCTTCACTAACAAAGATCTCAAGACCATTATCAAGACTCTTCCAAACAACAAAGCTCCGGGCAATGACGGCATTGACTTTATAATAATTAAACAAATCTTCAAATCATGTCCATCCATCCTCAGGAATTTCTTTAACAAATGTTTACAATTCCAAAGGTTTCCAACATCTCTTAAAGAAGGCATCATTGTCCTTTTTCATAAAAAAGGCAAGGAACCAAGAAACATCTCTTCTTACAGGCCAATTACCCTTTTACCAACACTGGGTAAACTTTTAGAAAAACTGCTTCTTCAAAGATTTAATTATTATCTTGAGAAGAATAACAAATTACATGATCAACAATATGGTTTCCTCCAGGGTAAATCTGTCGACTTAGCACTTTCCACCCTCGTCTCAAAACTCGAGGAAGCCAAACGCAAGGACCTTCAAACTCTCTTCATTTCAATCGATATTAAGGGAGCTTTTGATAACCTTCAATACTCGTCTATCAAAAACTCTATTGACAAAATTGCCACCAAATCAAACATAACAGAAACATTAAAGGACATTCTAAACAACCGCAAAGTAATAATTCAAACCCAAATGGGACCTTCTTCCTGGCCACAAACCAGAGGCTGCGCACAAGGTTCATGCAGTGGCCCCGCTTTCTGGAACCTTGTTGCTGACAACATCCTTAATGCAGACTGGCCTCCTGACGTCCACCTCCAAGCCTTCGCTGATGATTTTGCCTTCGTAATCTCTCATCGTACAAAAAAAGGCGTTCAAGAATTAGCTAAAAAGGCCAGTCAAATTTTCTCCAATTGGGTAACTTCAAACAAGCTCGAAATATCATTTGATAAAACTAAATACATGTATATCGGCAAACTTGTCAACCCAGCCCGCATCAAATGGAACAACGTAAGAATTCAAAAAGTGTGGTCCTTAAAATATCTAGGCGTTGTTATTGATAGCACTCTTAGCTGGGTCCCACACATCATAGACAGAGGAACTAAATCACTTGACCACTATCACCAGCTTCAAAGGATAGCTGGCAAAAATTGGGGTCTCAGTCAAACCAACAGGAAACTAATCTATAAGACTGTTACCGAAAGAATGATCTGTCATGGCTCAGTAGCATGGGCATTAAATATATCAGAACGAATGAAACGCAAATTAAATTCCTTTCAAAGAAGATTTCTTTTAATAATAACTAAGGCTTATCATACAACTTCTACACTAAGTTTACAAATCTTAACAGGGATCCCTCCACTTCACCTTACACTTAGTAAGGAAGCTAAAAACATAAAAATAACAAGATTAAGGCAACCAGCCATTATCAACGATTCTCTCATTGACCCATCTGACTATGAAGAAATACTTAGAGGACATCAATTTCATCCTGCTGATTTTAAAATCGACTTCCGGATCTCGACAGAACCAGCTCCTAATTATCCTATCGAGAACTCAATTTACACAGATGGTTCTAAAACCACAGATGGCACAGGCTCAGCATTCTGCAGCTTTGATGACTTAGGCCAACTCAAAACAAAATGGTTGGGCAAACTCTCTCAGGACAACAACATATTTCAAGCCGAACTGCTAGCAATTCATCAAGCCATTCTCCATCACATCAACTCTAAAACCCAAATAAAAATCTGTTCAGACAGTTTATCAAGCCTTCAAGCCATTTTGAATCCCACTTCTCCACATCCTCTAGTCCGTGACATTCAAAAACAACTTCAATCCAAAAATAACATCTACATCGGCTGGGTGAAAGCACATATCGGACAATACGGCAACGAAACAGCAGACGAACTTGCAAAAAAAGCAATTAACGAAGGTACAATCATTAACATAAAAATGCCACTCAGCTCACTCAAGAAATCCCTAAATCAAGAATTATTAGAAAAATGGCAATTAGAATGGAACAAAGGCAAAGTTGGTCGGCTCATTCATGAAATCATCCCATCCCCATCATTCAAGCTCCACAAGTGGTCAAGAGGTGAGATCATGTTCTTTTCAGAACATGGTCCTTTTCCATCATACCTCCGGCGCTTCAATCTAAAGCCTACAGACCTCTGCAACTGCGGTGATTTTGGAACTCCCCTTCATTATGCCACTTCCTGCATATTGACTGAAAGCTGGCATTTCAAAAAACCAAGCACATCTAACCTCCTTCACTGGAAAAAGGGCATCCTTAAAAACAAAGGAGCTCGCATACAACTTGGTAAACTAATGAATTTTCTAATGAATAACGATGATCTGATCAACGGGTCATAATAAACAATAATAACAACATCCAACTCAGTATTTTGAGTAACTAATGTACATATTGTAAATATTTCATTATCTATTTTTTTAACTATAAATTTCTTGTTATTAATTCTTCCATATAGATTTTTTGTTCCTCTTCGGCATAATATCCTGAATCCCTGGTGTATCAGTTCTCAAAGTTGCAATTCATCTGCGCCAGATTATTTTCTTCATTATAAAGGCGTTAATTGTCATGATACTTATTTTCATTGTTAACGTTTCAAGTTTAACAACTTGAGCAACTCATTTAAGCAACAATATTGTATGTTATCATCCAACAAATACTTCTTGTCATAATATTTAAACTTTTTGTTTAGCAAATGTATTAGTAATAATCTTAAAATGTAGATTGGTAACAACTTTCAAAAGTACTGGAACTTGCTCCTTTTGGTAAAGTTTCTGAAAGCAATTTTAATTAACAAAATATTTTTTCCATTCACTAACCACAGCAATTGTTTACTATTGATCATATAAACAAAACAACATTGTTAATCATTTCATCAAGACCGGGCCAACCAATATGTTTGTGGCCTGCAACTCTCTCAGCCATGTACAACATCTGTAAAAATTATTCATTGTCATAACTCAATTCATATTATATGTAATGTATTATTTTTAAATTATCAAATAAAGTTGTTCGGGGAACGTCGTTTCGGTGCGGGGCCTTGTGTCCCGTGGGGTTGGTTGGTTAATGTCTTTTTTCTGCGGACAGCCATCTAAACCGCGAAAAGAGTTCGCAAGAACTCAAAAGCGGGGCTGCCCGTAGTGTCAATGTCTAGAGCAACCAACACCTTTCATGGGGTCTCATGAGCGTCTCGCATCGGATGCCGTAACCCGACGTTTGGTTCATCCCACAGCGCCAGTTCTGCTTACCAAAAGTGGCCCACTGGGCACTCTCATCCAATCGTCCGGCCTTCAGTCATGCAAGGCGGACTTCTCACCCATTTAAAGTTTGAGAATAGGTTGAGGTCGTTTCGGCCCCAAGGCCTCTAATCATTCGCTTTACCGGATGAGACTGAGTTCTCCGAGCGCCAGCTATCCTGAGGGAAACTTCGGAGGGAACCAGCTACTAGATCAGTGGTGGCGAACCTTTATGTATCAACGTGCCATTTTTTCTAAAAAAATGTTTAATGAGGTCATAGACGTGCCGTCAAATAGTACCGTCAATGCTTCATAGTGAACTTTGTGATCGGTGGCGTGCCCAAAATATTGTGTCGCGTGCCATTGATGGCACGCGTGCCATTAGTTCGCCATCCCTGTACTAGATAGTTCGATTAGTCTTTTGCCCCTATACCCGGATCTGACGATCGATTTGCACGTCAGAACCGCTGCGGACCTCCACCAGAGTTTCCTCTGGCCTCGTCCTGCCCGGGCATAGTTCACCATCTTTCGGGTCCCAACGTGTATGCTCAAACTCCGCCCAACCAATAAATTGGAAAGGACGGGTCGTTGGTGCGCCCCTCGTGCGAAGACGAAGGGATCCCAACACAGTCGGCGTCGAGTCCGACCTTTGCTTTCATTGCGCCTCTGGGCTTATTCGAGACCCATTGACTCGCACACATGTTAGACTCCTTGGCCCGTGTTTCAAGATGGGTCGGGTGGGTGACCGATCTACTCCCCGCGAACCTCCGACTGGTCCACAGCAGCCAACGAGGAAGCTGTCTTCCGATGGGCCACGGAGTCAGTCCGTGCGCCCTCAGAAGTGCTCACCCCTGCCACTTCGTCCAGGCATCCGCGAACGGAGGAGGCGAAGAAGCCTAAGTAGGCCTCGCGCCACCACGGTCACGCTACGAGCCGTGCGGCGCGCTGGCTAACAGCCGACGATCCGATTGAACGAACCACCGGCCAACTGCCGTTGCACGCCCTTAAGGCCGTCTCGTAACCGGTTGCGGGGTCCTTCGGACGGGAAACAAATGCGTTCTATAACGCGAAAGCTCCATGAATGAGAGGCCGCCTCCGCGGAACCATAAGGAATCTCAAACGTGGAGTCCACCCCACAAAACTGAATCCTCCCGCCACAGGATTTCGAGGGCCCACCCGTTTGCCTCTGAGCAGTTTCACGTACTCTTGAACTCTCTCTTCAAAGTTCCTTGCAACTTTCCCTCACGGTACTTGTTTGCTATCGGTCTCACGGCCGTATTTAGCCTTAGGTGGAGTTTACCACCCGATTAGGGCTGCACTCCCAAGCAACCCGACTCCAAGGAGATCGCATTCGACGGAGACCTAGCAGCTATGGGCCTCGCACCCACTCTGGGTTACAGCCCCGGTCAGGGGGACTTGCTGCAGAGTCAACCGCCGGCACGCTCACTCCTAAACGCCACATTGCACGGCTCCCTCTCGAGAGCGGGCTTCGGCGCTGGGCTCTTCCCTTTTCGCTCGCCGTTACTCAGGGAATCCCTGTTGGTTTCTTTTCCTCCGCTTATTTATATGCTTAAATTCAGCGGGTCATCTCGTCTGATCTGAGGTCGTCAATAATAATACTTAAATAGACTATTAGTCTATGTAGGCTCTCTTCCCACTGAATAGTCTTCTTAGCATCAAACCGTCTCGTCTTCGTGGAGAAACGTTGTCCGTCTTCTCCGAGCGACGAGCATGCACTAGGGCTTGAGCTCTCTCGACCGGGGAGGATCCTATGAATACTTGAGCCGACGAAATCCAATAGACTCCGACGCGGCCAATTGGAAAAATGAATTTCCTTTGCAAGTCTTATCCGACCCTCAGACAGGCGAGGCCCCGGGCAGGACCCGAGGCCGCAATGTGCGTTCGAAAAATCAGTACTCAATGTGTCCTGCAATTCACACCAAATCTCGCAGCTGGCTGCGTTCTTCATCGACCCGTGAGCCGAGTGATCCACTGCTCAGAGTTGTATAATTTTTTTTGGCCAATCGTTTCCGAAAGGTCGTAGTGCGTTCGAGAATGCGTTCGAGACACTTCCACGAGGGAAGCGACGCTACGGGGCGGTGTGCTAGTCAGCACATCTCTTCAAGCCTAGCTCTCTATTCAGGGAACCCCCCTCTTGCCCAAGTCGGGGCCGGGGAACATAGACACACCCATTATTAAGCGTCATAGATTCGAATTTTTGGCACTTCGTTCCCAACGCGTGTGGAAACCAGCACCGGCAAGGAACCCCCAAAATAGGAGATCCCTCGTGTATCAGTTAGAAACCGATAATGATCCTTTCGCAGGTTCACCTACGAAAACCTTGTTACGACTTTTACTTCCTCTAAATGATCAAGTTTGGTCATCTTTCCGGCACACCGGCTCGACCACGAAGGCCAATCCGAGCGCCAGTCCGAAGACCTCACTAAATCATTCAATCGGTAGTAGCGACGGGCGGTGTGGACAAAGGGCAGGGACGTAATCAACACGAGCTGATGACTCGTGCTTACTGGGAATTCCTCGTTCATGGAATCAATTACAGTTTCCATTCTGAGTCGTTCTAGCTTTTGGAGGAAGATGTGAGCTTTTTCTTAGCTCCCGCTTAATCTTCTTGCATCTTTGCTTTCTGTATTTGTTTTATTACAGAAATGGTGTTGCCGTAATGGCATGTGTAGTGCTAATGAAAATTCCTCAGGATTCGTGAGTTTTATTTTGAAATTTTGAAGTTATTTGAATTTAAAAACTTTATCATTATACCTGTGAATTTTTGTGATCCTACGTTTCCATGGCGACGGGTGACGTCACCAGCATCACTGCTTGATTGATTGACTTCTACTGTACTGCTTGATTGTTTGATAAACTGTTTTGGACTGGCAGTTCCTTTATTTGCCTTTGGAACCAACTCCTGCCCCTCTGCTGTTGTTGATGTCCGAGATCTATGAAATTTGGGTATCCGGATGAGCTTTGGTTCCCTGTTGCTGTCAGAAAATTTGGTGTGTCCAGGACGTCCCGTTCTCGAGATATCTCAAGTTATTGAAAGGTCCTCAGAAATAGTTGGAATTTCGCCCTTAGCTGGACTGTGCATCCTTTACAACTATTTGTAATCGAATCCAGTCATATACTGCTCTTGTGGTCGAGTTATTTCTACTACTCCATATTGGGGGTGGATTTGACTTTTGACCCCCTTCCCAGCGTCCGAGGACTATGAAATTTGGGTTTTCGGATGAGCATTAGCTTTTTGCTATTGTCAATAAGTTTGGTGTGTCCAGGACGTTCCGTTTCCGAATTATTACAAGAAATCGAAAGGTCCTCAAAAATAGTTGGAATTTCGCTCCGAGCTAGACCGTGCATCCTTTACAATTTTTGGCCTATTTACATTGCTATTGTGCTTCTGCTGATGACTAATGATACTTACGGGCCATTGATGACTTTTTTGGTGCTTTTTTCTTTATGCCAAAGGATAATTCTTTTACGTTTATCCTGAGTAAAAGTATTGATACCTCTTTTAAGATGCCGGGTTCAGGCGACGAGGAAACGCCCGATAAGGGAACTGATTCATCATCCACCAGCCTCTCTTCACAAAAGATCCCAGTGGTTGCCCTGTCAAAGGTGGCCGGTGTGGGACCAATTGAATTACTTATTAATGACGTTATTGACTTTAATTTTGATCCGTCGGTATCTGAGGATTTAATTGCAGTCCTGCAGGAATTGGTCAAAATCTATATCAGTAAGGGCAGAGACATAAAGGCTGGTTCACGTGAAATTATTGTTGAAAAGGTTATAGCGCCTTTTCTTAGAATTTTTAAAAATCGTGAAACCACTAACTTGTCGACAATATATGATTTGAAAGCTAGTCTGCTTGACATCACGGAAAGACAGTATCAGTCAAAAATTAGATCGTGTGAAGCGACGATTGAGTCTTTGAACGGAAAGCTTAATATTCTCTGTTCTGAACTCAATGACTACAAAAAAGATTTTAAAGAATCCTCTAGATCTTTAATTGAAACCACTAAGGAAGTTAAATCATTGGTGTCTAGGGCTACGCCCTCTTTTGCTAGTATTGTTACTAGACCAAGTGTTACAAAACCGCCAGTTATTACTCAACGTGGCAACCATGTACTCTTGTTGAGACCAAAGAAGGAATCATCTAGTGAAGAAAATAGAAAGAGAGTAGAAACTGCTCTTGTTTCTAGGAATTCACCTATTCGCATTAACCGTATTTCTAAGGTTAGTCGTGGAGGCCTCATTATTGAGGCCCCTAATAAAGATGAGCTACAGGCCCTTGAAAGAGAGTTGGCTTGTGTCACCACCATTGATGAACACTTCGAGGTAACACGTCCAAAGAAGAGAAATCCACAGATTATTCTAATTGGAGTTCCTCGTGATGTAGACAAGGAACGATTGAGTAAAGGACTCTCTGCAAAGAATATATTTTTGAATGACTCATCTAACAAGCCCCTTTTTGAACTGAACTTTTCCATGAAAACTCGTTTTGCTTCAAATTGGGTGATGTCTATAGACCCTATTATATACAAGAGACTTTTTGGTGAGTCGGGATTATTTTTTGAATTTACAAGATTAAGATTTGATAATTTTTATGGTATCAAACAATGTAAACATTGTTGTAAATTTGGTCACACAACTAAGTGGTGTCCATCTGCAAAGCAAATTTTATGTACGAAATGTGGTCTTGACCACTCAGTCGAGAATTGTCCTAAGCCTTTTTGTATAAATTGTAGTGAGCATAACTTGAGGCAGAATGCTGCATTTAATATTGATCATTCACCATTTGATAGGAATAGGTGTGAAAGCTTTGATAAACAAAAGGATAATTTAATTAGTCATACCGACTATGGTGTTTCTTCGGGTGCACCAGATTAACGTTAACCACTCGCGGGCCGCGCACAGCGCTGCTTTGGTGTCTGCTGGTGAGGGTTGTTGTGATTTTCTTTGTATTCAGGATCCATATCTTGCAGATGGTACTCCGATTGGAGATTCATCTGGTTTTCCGATTTTTTCCTCAAATAGATTTAATTGTTCGATATATTGTTTAAATAAAGATTTAAATTTTACGTTTAGCCATAGTTCCCAAAATACAGTTTCTATTGTTATTCATTTTGCTAAATTTAATCTTAGGTTGACAAATATTTATTTCCAACCTCATGATAATATTGATATTTTAATTAATGAGATTTTGCATTTAGGTTTGAACAATTCATTTGACCTCCTCGTTGGTGACTTCAACGCCAGGTCCCAAATTTGGGGCTATGGCTTTGAGGATCACCGGGGGAGGGTAATTTCTGATTTTTTAGTTACTAATAATTTTTCCATCTGCAATGATGTGGATCTTGGCCCAACTTTTATTACTGATACGGGTCAGGGTTTCCCTGATTTAACTTTAATTTCAGTTGCTTGTCAAAATTTTCTTGACTCATGGAGTATTTTGAACACGGACTCTCTCAGCGACCATAAGCACGTCTGTGTTCGGCTCACTGGTGATTTTAAACCTTCCAACGATTTTATTTTTAAGACAAAGTACTCAACAAAAAAGTTTTTATTTATGTTTAAGAAGAAATTTGATTATTTATATAATTTGCTTAGTTTAAGTTGTTCAGTTGAAGATGTTGATTTGTTTTACGAAAAATTTATTCAGGTTGTTTGTGATGCTGCCTTTTCTTCATTCAAGAAAAAATCGATTAATAATAATAATAAGTTTCAATTCTGGAATAATTCCCTTAGGGTTCAGCGAAATAAAGTTACAGCATTATACCGTAAATTTAATGGTCTTAAGAAAAATGGTGCGCCCGAGGAGGCGGTCCTGGCCGCGGGCATTGTGTACCGCAGAGAACGGTCTGTTTTTAAAAAATTAATTAATACAACCAAGCGGAAGGCTTGGGAAAATTTTTGTTCAAAATACATGATTAAATTTGGTAGAACTTTTAAAGTAGCATTTAATAAATTTAAGAGACAGTTTAATTTTCCTATAAATATTCCGAATATTGATAATCCTTCTTTCGATGAAATTATTTCTCATTTATTGAAGAGTTCCTTTTCCTTTAAGGATAATGCTAATTTTAATAATTTAAATTTTCCTTTGCAATCATTGAGAGAAATAACTATATTTGAATTAAATGATTTGTTTAAAAACTTGCATGGTGGCAAGGCCCCCGGCCTGGACCGCTTGGATTATAGGATTTGGCTTGAGATTTTTAATTTCAATAAGGATTTTTTCTGCAGAATTATTAATTTGTGTTTTAGGTTTTCCCATTTTCCCCTTTGCTTACGCAATGCTAAAGTTTTCTTTTTACTAAAGCCGGGTAGGGACAGGCATTTGTCTGGTTCCTACCGGCCGATTTGTCTTTTGCCTACTTTGGGAAAAATCATAGAGAGGCTTTTTGCAAAACAATTTAATGGTTATATATATGGAAGAAATTTAATTCATTCACAGCAATTTGGATTTAGGGAGCTCTCGAATTGCGAGGTGGCTTTGAATTATTTAATTGAAAAAATTAAGGGCTCCCGGGAGGGGAATCACGTCGCCTTGGTGTCTATTGACATCAGGGCGGCTTTTGATAGCCTCGACTGGGATGTCCTTTTTTCTTTATTTTCAAAATATAATATTCCTTTTTCTTTTCAAAAATTTTTACATAGTTATTTGAATAATCGTAAAGTTTCCTATGTTATAGGAACCAGTTTAATTTCTGTTAATGTGTGTCAGGGGTGTCCGCAAGGTTCAGTCCTGGCACCATATATTTGGAATTTTTATTTTAACGAAATTTTGAATTTAAACAATGATTTATTCTATCTCCAGGCTTACGCGGACGATTTGGCATTAATTTTATGTGCCAGCTCTCGTAAGAATCTTGAACTTTTAGTAAATACATCTTTAGATTTATTATGTGATAAATTATTTAATTTAAATTTACGGGTTGCCTCTGAGAAGACTCTTGCGGTTGTTTTCAGGGGCACCCAAAATAAAAATAAGCAGAAA